CGCCTGGCGCCGTCATTATTTGTTTTTCGGCGCCAGGCGAAGACCTCTCTGGGGAGTGCATTCCATAACTTAGGCGCCACCGCTGAGAAAGCCCTCCTCCGAGTAACCACCCTCCTAACTTCTTCCACGGAGGGCTCCTGGAGAAGGGCCTCTCCCGCCGATCTCAGGGGGCGGCTGGGCATATATGGATAGACAAATTCGCATTGGTAACATTTTGCTTTGTCACTAATTTAGCATGCTTACTAATGTTGCTTAGCCACAAAGTCGTGCCTGACCCTTTGTGACCCCATTCACATTCTTCCAGGCTCTCCCGCCCTCCACCGACCCCCAGTGACCCTATCCAGCCACCTCAACCTCCGCTGTCCCCCTTTCCTTTTGCCTTCAATTGCTCCTATCACCAGGGGCTTCTCCAGTAACTCCTTCTTTCTCATTAGGTGGCCAGAGTATTTGAGCTTCATCTTGAATATCTTTCCTAAAGAACAGTCAGGGCCAATTTCCTTTAGGATTGGTATACTTACTAATACAAGTAAAATAAAAGCCACTTTAGAACAGTACCCATCTTTTTTTTTCTTTTACCCAATGCACCACATGTATTTGAACTGAAGTAGTTAAAGGGAAAAATTAGAACAACTAAGAGTGCTATCTGATGGCCTGTGCTCTCACTGCTTGGAGCAGCTGAACTTTCAAGACTCCTAAACCCTCTTGGGCTGAAGCTGGGAGGGCAGGAGTCATGGTGGAGGCAAGCCATTCTGTTTTTGCTTGATGAGTTTTTCATCCCACCTAGTGAGGGCTCTTTGGAAGGAGGCTGGAGAAGGCTCAATATAACAAGTCCCAGCCTCTGCTCTCTCCACCCACCAGTGCATCCCCTTTCTAAGGGTGACTTTGCAATCTTGTAGATGCAGTTAATGTTCTTTCTGTGCTGTGAGGGATCAGGCATTGGATTTCAAATTGCTCCTTGCAGGGTCAGAAACAATTTTTTTGAGCCAAGCTATGGTTTCTAGGATGCTTTCCCACAGGGTGGATTTGATTTAATTAAAATTTGATTTAAATTGATATAGGAATCAAATCAATTTAAATCATGATTTAAATCACTAACTCAGTAAGATTAGATTTAAATCATGGTTTTCTACATAGTTTGTCTGCCTTACCCATAGGTAGAGGAACTGCATTAAAATATTTCCAAACTGGGTCTTTTTTATGGCCTGCTGTCATTATGGGTTTCTCCTCCAGGGAAAGAATAATATGGTAAACCTCAGGCTATACACAAAAAGATCCAAAGACTTGTGCTTCCTCACACTTAGCTTCTTGTGCAGATCTATTCCAGTCCCCCAAATTTTCTATATTTGGGTGGGGGTTTTTTGAGGGGGGGGGAACTTAGCACTTAAGAGGTAAGGGGCAGATTTTGTGTACATAGATTTGCAAAGGAACAATGGCATTAAGGTCTTTTCTCAACTATGTATGTTTGTTTTATAACTTTTTTGCTGAAAAAGAGGCATGTGATTTCTGTGGACACAAATTCACAGTTTTGAGAACTTTAAAACCAAGCATCTGTGATAATATCTGGATAGAAAAAATGCCCATTAATCTTAGAGAAACCTCAGGAAGAGCATGACATTGTGAATGGATTAATGGAATTGATTTACCAAAAAAATTAAACATTGCATGAATATATATCCTCATAATTAAAATCCTCATACATTAAAATCCTCATAATTAAATAAATTTATTATGCAGATAAATTATATCCTCATAATATATATCCTTATTTCATGATGAATAACCATCGGACTACAATGTATCTTAAATAAGAAACTATCTTTAGATAGATTTTTCCTCAAAAAACAATTTATTTTTTAAAAATTCAATTTAAATGTTAATCAATTTTTTTAAAATAATTTATTTTTTATCTTGCTTCCCCAGCAACACTAGCTCCCAGCCTGCTCCAAACACCACTGTTGTTATACATTGAAATGTTACCTTATAGTGACATTTTATTGAAATACATGTCAAAATTCAAAAGCAATAAACAATTGTTAAATGTAAGCAGAGGGAAGTGCTGCAAACTGTTAATACAGTCTTTCAACCTTCCCTAACTATATCACTCCCAGATGTGTTGGAGTATTGTTGAGTTATAAACTAACCTATCTGGAGTGGACAGTTCAGGGAAAGATGACTGGATTAATTTTAGCAACTGAAAGAACTGTCCAAGATTTGCTGACAATCACCCTTTTCAACTGAGTTCACCATTTTTCCTCTGAGGTTTTTGAGGAATGTTCAAATTTGCTATTACTCCTTTCTAGTTCCATTTCCCACTGAAGTGTATGTGTATTTCAGAATTTTCTCCTTGTTTGCCAAGGATAATCACTTGGAAAATATTAATTACAACTTCAAACTTCCAGGCTTGCCTAATATTGTATTTGCAATTGGCGTCCATTCATTGTTACTAATGAACCCACCAAACATTTTTTCCATATGAAAAAATACAGCAGTACAATGTTTTCTGCACCACATCATTGATTATATTTTTGTTTGGTTTTCTCATGTTTTTCAAACTATTGTCTTCCAAAGCAGCGTACATCAGTTAGAAAAAACAACAGGCCTTGCCATCTAAAATGACAAGGCACACAAGAAAAGTTTAAGGAAATCAGTTCTTTAAGACTAGAGCAAAGGTGGTGAGCTCTAAGGAGGATTAAAGTCTGCACTTAAATTTAAGTACATTTGAGGCCAGACTGATCTTCCCTTGCTGGTGTTCTTGACTGGATAAGAATTTGGTGAATCTTGTTTCCTTTAGCTGAGGAATGGGGCCAGGCTGTTCTTCCCCCCTGCATCTTGCCCTTTGCTCATACTGTGAGGTTTATGCCTGAGTAAGCATTTGGACCTAGGTCTCCCCAGGCGTGGCTGATGTTCATCCTTAAACTTCTAAGAAGCTTGCCATATGGGTTGTTTCCATAACTTAATACAAATGTTGGGATAGTATCATTTCCTAAGGTGATACAAGTATCCTTTGTATATCTTTTCTTTTAATTAGGAGGTTTCACCTTTCCTGCTTTCACTCTTCTCTGGATTTTGACTTTTCTTACCCTCTTCTCTTTCTAGCAGGAGAGTTTTGTTTACTCCCCTATCAAAGTCAGTAGAACAATACTGCTCCTTTGATTTTAACAGAGGTATGGAAAAGGGTGGTCTGCCCAAAAATGGCTAGAGTGAGGGGGAGGCCTACCCCCTACCTAGCTAGGATCCAATTGTCCCAAGTGTATTTGATGCCGGTCAGTAGATAAAATAAGAGTAGAGGTGAGTGCATAGCAGTGTAAGGTGCCTTTGTGGGAAGGCTAGGATGTTTTGGCTATGTTGCTGACCCTTGTGTTAGGAGTCCATTTGAGCAGACCAGGCTCTCCCTTCCTCATACATACAAATACAGTGACTTAAAGCTAGATGGTTCTTCTTTTCTTAGTAAACCATCCACTGTCAATTAGTCATCCACATTTGTGGAACTGGGGCTACCAACCATCATAATTTCTGTCTTTCAATCAAGTTTTTCTATTTGTAGTCACCTACAGAATCACAGCTTCTAAGGACTGACAGATAAGTGCAACAGTTGCTGAATCTGAAATAGATGTTGGTGCAGTGATGGCACCAAACTCATTCCTAGAGGAATTCGGTATAGAATGTAACCTTGCAGAATTCATCTCTGAAGGGCCTAATGTTATTGTCTTTGAAACGGAAAATGGATAGTGCCAGGTTTATCCTATATTTTAAAGCCCAAGGATGTACAGGTGTTCATCTTTCTGGTCATACTTACAAATGTGCTTGGATTGTAGCTATTCATCAGCGTTCAGGATCTGAAATCTCAGGACACTTTTGACAGTGATTCAGACAGTGGACAAGGCAGCTGTGAAACTAACTCCCCTACAGACATAAGCAAGGGGGCTGCACCTATTGATGATGAAGGTCTGTAACTTACTATTACTTTTCCTTAATTCTTAAACAAAAGGACATTTATTTAGAACATGCATTACCTCAGGGAAACTGCATGCACATTGCATAATTCCAAGATATGTTGATTTGAAAATATGGCCACAATCCAGTTTGTTTACCTAAACATCATGTCTGCAGTTTTGGTGGTTAAACCGTTTTTCCTCAGCAGGTCCTGAATGTACACCAGGCATCCTGCACAGATTTTTGAAAACCTCACATGGCTTCAGAGCTACTGGGCTGAAGCTGATTTAACAACAAATAAACTGCATGTATAGAACTGAGGCTTGTATTTCTCTTAAGCTGCTATAGTTTGTGGCTTGTTGCCAGGGAAGGAGAACTAAGGGAGCTAAATTGTCCTATAAAGGTCAGTTAAATAGTACTGCACTCAATACTGGTCTTCCTAAAAGAGAGATGTAATGGAAGTTGCTTTGTTTAAATGAAGGGGAAAGGATATACAATGAATTTATTAATCACTTTTAGAATTTGTGGTTTTTTAAAAGAATGCATTCCATAAGATTATTATATTACATATTTTAAGCATCTTCAGATGAAGAGATTTATATGAGTAAAAGAATCAAATGTAAGAAGGTACTCCCAGAGAGTGACAGTGAAGGAGAAGACCACACGTCTGAGAATTTGGATGCCACATCTGGGGAAAACATGAAGGACAGTGGTACACTTGTTGCTGGGGAGAAGAAACCCAACTTCTTCCAGACTGTACTGAACCATGATGATAGTGATGCAGAGAATCTGTCTCCCAGATCTGAGTTGGAGAACTCCAGGAAATCTGGAAAAAAACACAAAAGCCACAAAATCTATTCTGTCAAGCAGATAGATGGAAGAGAAAAGGGCAACCCAAGGAAAAGAAGGACAAAGAAAGAGAAGAAAATGAAGGCCATTAGGCAGATGATAAAAAATGAAAGGACAAAGGAGCAAAAGGTATGGGAAGGGGAACACTCTCAAAGACATGGGCTTTTATGTAGCATGTCCGATGCAAATAAAGCTTGATCTGATGCTTGGTGGTATACTTATATGTGGTGCATTCTGCTTGTTCTTGGGGCAGGAGAATGGCGAAGATTTGTCTTTAAATGACAGTGGGTGTCTGCTAGCTGATAAAGATCTCTTTGAGAATGGCTTGGAGGAGGAAGATCCCCCCAGTCAAGATGAAGAGTCACTTGACTTAATAAAAGCTGCCTCAAAAGAAAAGATGAGAAAACAAAAGGTAAGTCATGCTAAACTTCTAAGGAAACTATACAAAGTGGGTTGTTGTTTTTTTCTTGAATTTGCTGCCAATTAATGAGGTGACCTGGGAAAGAGCCTTTTTAGTTGTGAAATTCTCTCCCCACACAGGACAACACTGTTAGCAATTCAGAGCCAGAAAACAACATGCTGATTACATTATATTTTTATGTTTTTTCAGAATCACCTGGTTAATCCTTTGCTGAAGAGCAGATACACACTGTGTTCTTATCTGGAAAGAGTAGAGAGCCTTTCTTTTTCAATATTTATGCTATAATTTAATTTTAGACATGGATGCCATTGAGAAAATTGCATCTCATTAGCATTCTGTGCTTTCCTAATGATTTCTATATTTTAAAAGCCCTTCCTTGATAGACTTCTGCAGTTGGGTCTCATACAGTAAGGTTTAAATAGATTAACTCAACTAAAGAGATGCAGAAGGTATAATACTATGCCTGTTTAGACAGAAAAAATGTACAATTTTCTTTCCTCGGCCTGTGTGATTGACTGAGGAATACTGAGACTTGTAGAACTTTCTGTCTAAACATGGAACCTTCTTGGCAGTCTTTCTTTCAGCTTGTGCTGCAATGATAGCCCATGATTTCCTGCTGCAGTAACATTGCTCTAGTTATGTTTATTTTTGAGAGGCTTATAAGGCATCGTCCCTTGTCTGCGTCCCTTAGCTGTGGCCCAGGCCGTCTGGGGACTCCCTTCCCTGGGATGCAGAGGGGTTTTTTTTTTTTTCCTTTCTCCTTTCCTTTCTCCTCTCCTTTCCTTTCCTTTCTTGGTGCTGTGCTTTGTTTTTCCTCCAATTTAAATTTAAGTTTATTTTATCCTTTTGTGTGTGTGCGAGTGGGTTTTTGTCTGGGAGAACTAGGTGAGTGACAGGAACTGCAGGACAAACAAGGCAGGGGACCAAGGTAAGGTCTCGGAAGGGATCCCGATGGCAGGCCAGGAGATGGCCTTGGCGGGAGTCACGGGTGTTGCTCTCCGCTGCGACATGTTCGCCCTTCTCCCCCAGGAGAGGCAGGGATACACTTGCCCTCGGTGCAAGATGGTGACCCTGCTAGAGGAGGAGGTGAGGGGCCTGAGGGCCGAGAGAGCCCTCCAGGCCCCCCCGGAGCAGCCCCCTCTGGACAGAGGGTTGAAGGAGAGGCCACGGGAGGAGCAGCTGCAGAGACATGGAGGCATGTCACCCACAGGAGGAGGAGGCCGTGGGTGCTTCTCCTGCACCAATCTGGAGCTGGGAAACAGGTTCTTTCCACTTGGGGAGGCTGGGGCTGATGAGGCCTCGGGGGACCAGCAGGACCCCCAGCCTGGAATGTCAGGCGGCAAGGGGGCCGCTGCAGGAGAGGTGAGGGCCAGGGCACGGCTGCCCACCAGCACCGGGAAGGTACAGAGGCAGGTGATTGTTGTTGGGGACTCCCTTCTGAGGGGCACTGAGCCAGCGGTGTGCCGCCCCAACCTGGAGACAAGGGAGGTTTGCTGCCTGCCGGGCGCACACATCTGGTATGTGAAGGACAGAGTAGAGTGTCTTCTTCGCTCCGGGAGTCACCAGCCAGGGGGTCACCAGCCAAATGACATGGCCAGACAGGGTGTGGTGGGGATCACCAGGGACTTTGAGGCCTTGGGGAAGAAACTCAGGGAGCTAAAGGCCCAAGTGGCCTTCTTGTCAATCTTACCTTTCCGGGGATTTGGGCCAGGAAGGGACAGGAGGGCCCCCGAGGTGAATGACTGGCTTAGGTTAAGGTGCCAGAAGGAACACTTCTGGTTCCTCAACCACGGCACTCGGTTTTTTGCCAATGGACTTCTGGCAAGGGATGGGTTACACCTCACGAGGATGGGGAAAAGGTCCTTTGGAGATGCTCTAGTGAGCTTCATCCGGAAGACTTTAAACTGAGCCGGGGGGGGGG